TATTTAAAAAAGAAAGATGATTATGGATTCAATAAATATAAAAATATGATGTTGAATATGATGTTGATTGAAATATGTACAAAAATTAAAAATTCTTTAAAAAAAATTAAACTACTTTTAAAATTACAAAAAATATATATATATTATCTTAAATAAATAATAATAATCTTAAATAAAACAAAAATTATTTTATATAAAAGAATAAATTACGAGTATTTTATAATAAATAATAAAAATTATAATTGATCACATTAATTTAGTTAAAATACTTTTTATATACATTTTTACTTAAATAATTTTTTATTTTTACCTTTCAATTGTCAAAATTTTTAAAGTGAACGAGTAGACTTCTGCATTGAACCTTTCCGTTTTGACCTGTCAATGGGTCAAGTAGTTCCGACACAAATGTAACAAATCGAAAAACCCTCTTCTTTCTCATTGTTTCTTATCGTGACACGTTCTAGTTATCCCTTCTTTTATCCTACTCAGATATTTCCCTTTTTTTTGTCTTTTTTAAACCTCTTTCCTTTTTCATCTTATTCGATTCTTTATCTTCCTTTTTAATCATTCTCCTTGTTAATTATTTTTATTATAAATACGTAATGCTTATATAAGTGCATATATGGAAAACATAAACAAATCGGATATACGCCACATTGCGATATTCAATAAAACAATATTAACTGCAATGGATAATATCACATGCTAAACATTGATTCGATATCAAACAGGATTGTAAATTAGAAAAAAAAAGAATAATGAATTCTTGCAAAGAAGCAAGCAGGTAAATGTAATTACCGCTATAATCATGTAGATATATCGGTAGTAAGAAACGAATGTATATAAGTGCATGCAATAATATGTGCGTGCACGAAGCAAGTGAAAAAGGGTACATAAAGCCAATATGAAGTTCCAGAAAAAATGTTGAACGATTGAGAGCACCCAAGATGACCACGAACTTGACGATAAATCGTCCTACTTGAGTACTTCCTAAAAAGAAAGAACACATGAAGCGCGTAAAAAAATAAAAGGCTGGCTGGTGGCCGACGGGCACATCACATTTATTATTTTTCTTTTTTTCTTTCATTTTTTAGGAAATTCACGATAGGAAAACGCGTATTAACAAAGAGCGGTTTATACAATAAAATGACGACGATGAAAACGACGACGACGACGATGGAACAATAAAGGCTACATTTGTTTCTTTCTCTCCCTCTCTCTCTCTCCCTCTCAAAAACACATTATCTTTCTCTTTCTTAAAATTCTCGTTCATTTCGCATCGCTAGCAACTGCTGCAGCAACGTCGGTGACGATTCGACGGCGGCGGCAGCAACAGCAATAGCAAAGCATGAAGTCAGCCAGCAACACCAAAAGGCTGCGCGTACCAACGACTCAGGGTAACCACTGCACCGTATTTGACTTGCTCCTCTCTTCGTTTGCCTCGACTATGTGGATGACATATTCTCGTTCGTTGTGCTTTTCTTTGTTCTATTAATTTTTTGTTCACTAATTTTTTTTTCTCGTTTTATCCCTTATACAAGATACTAATTGACCACTCTATTAGAGGGACACGCACGCACACAAAAGTACGGGCACAGACACAGGGGGGAGAAGGTGGGAGGCACGCGCGATGGGATATGCGGGCTACGAATCCAGGACACGATCCCCGTGTATACACACGGTGCGTATCACTCGGTCGTTGCAATTAACGCAGCCTCCATCCTTACCCCACACTTTGTGGACGCGCCCGTTCGTCCCGAGCTACCACCAACTGAGCACCGCGACCGATCGCGCGCGATTACTTCTTTATCCTTCTGCTCAGCAATCCCCTCCTATAGCCCTTGTCGCACGCGCGTTACGTCGCTCGATTATGTATGCCTTTCGTTCAATTGCCTTTTCGAATATCTGAAGTTACTCAAGGCTAAGACTTTTATAAGATCATATGTTCCATTAGGAAATCAGTTTCAATAATTTATTTGTCTAATAAGTATGTAAATAACTATATAATAAATATATATAAGTATATATATATATATTATTTCCGATTGATCGTCTGCATGTATAAATGTAATAATCGATTTTTTTATGCATTTTGAGAACCAGACAGAATTGATAATAAAATCGTTACAACATTTGATTCTTAGTTTTGAATAAATAAAAAAATCGAATTAAATGACTAATTTTCTAGTAAATTCAGTAATATCAGCAAATATCTTTTTTTTTTGTTTATAGAATAAGATTCAATTTCGAATATAATTATGATTAAATTAATGATCAAAATATTCTTTCAAATTATATTTTCAATTGAAAACCGAATAATTAAAGATTAATCTTTAAAAGATTTATCTTTTATGCATCTTTCATATACTTATATATATATATACATGTACATAATCATAATTTATAATAAAATTATTTTAATTATTGTTCTAAATAATATTGTATATCGAAATTTAATGATATTGTGTCTAAGTAACATATATAAATTGAATAATATATTTCCGATCTGAAATATTACATACATATATTGTCATACTGCTGTGCTTTCAACCATGTGCCCTTATTTCTCTTACAACGATATATTAAATTCAATGAAATTTATTATTTAATATTTTTTATACAATATTAAATAAAATGTTGAAATTATAATGAGTAAACAGAATTGCAATTTTAAATAAAATTCAGGAATCTAACGTATTTACCATTTCAACATATAAATTGCGCAAGATATCCTAATGCGTTTGTATTTCGTTTAGATAACATTGAACGTGTACACATATACAATACGTATAAAATCACATGTGGGGTGGAACCCCTTACAGATTCTAGGGCAACCCGCTTTTGCACTTACCCTCCCTTACACCCGCTACCAGGTTACCTCGCTCTCTCGACTTCTCCGAGTCGATATCCCGTACTGCTTTTGACCTTTCACCTTTCTCGCATTACCCTGATTCTGTGGCTAAGGGACAACCTGCCTTATCGACTCGTAACTATCCTTTCATTTTATTTATGATTATTTAACCAAGCTTAATTAAAATTCATTAGAATACACAATATATAGACTGTATTTTATCTTTGATTAATTTTATTTTGGTACATAAATTTTATATTTTAATTATATTTTATTTCTAGAATATATTATTATTTTATTTCATCTTAGTATCATTATATGTTTATCTTATTCTATCTTATTTTTTAAGTTTAAGAGAAAGTAGAAATATTTTTCATTTTACATATATCTCATCACATATATGTTATTTCTATTACAAATATTATTATTTTAATTATTGTTAAATGATAGTTTACATTTTTAATACGTGATTTTAGTTATCTATATAGTTATCTATAAATCGTATATGATTTAAATATAAAAATATAATATAAGTTCAACTTATTTACTTTGAATCAATATTGAAATTTTTCTTTCAAAACTTCGAAAATATAATTATTTAAAAAGAAATTATAAAATTTTAAACACAAAATTTTTTGTATGAATAATATTTATTTCACTATTGTATATTTATTATATATTTATCATATATTTCAGATTAACTTTGTAAATTACAATAATTAAAATTTAAACAAATAAATTTGAATATTTATTATTTTATCTTCGTTTTCTACCTCCAACTTTAAGTCTCATATTTCGTTGACCTTTACCTGCTTTTGGTTTTTTTGCTCCCTTGGCTTTTGTCCCTTTTTTATTTTTTTTATTATCTGCTTTAATTGGTTTTGTTCTAAAATTTAAATATATTTGATTATGTAGTGTTTCTTATATTAATTAATTTTATAAAGAATGAAAACATACTTTGGTACAGAAAAGTCTTCATGAAGAATTTTAGTATTACTCTTCAAAATACTATCTGCTAGATTAGTATTCCGTTTTTTTTCTTCTTGTAAATTTTTAGGAATTTCTTCAGCTTTTCTTTTCATACCTGGAACTTGTTTGGCAATCCCTTTTGCATCTTTTTCTTTTGGTAATCTAGTATCACATATTTAATATATGTAAATATATAAATTTAATTCTATAACATTTTAATGATATAATATATACCTATCTTGGAATTTTCCAAGAGATGCTGTTGATGTACGTGCAATAGTTACAGCTTGTGAAAGTTGTTGTGAATCAGAAAAATGTTCTTTAGTAGGAAGTCCTACTTTAGGAATTTTTATATTTTTTGACTTGGCAATATTATGTAATCTCTGCAATTCATTCTTAGACTTTCTTTCTTCTTTAGCTATCTTTGCAGCTGTAAATGGATCTTCCATGGCTTTACCTTCATCATTAACTTCTACCAACCATTCTTTCTGTTCTATGGCTTTATTACGTTTATAACCAAATGTAGGTATCCATTTCTGTATCAAAATAAAATGAATATTTATTTATATATCAATAAACTTATTTTAATATAAATAAAATCAGTAATTTACCTGTAATTCTTCATCCCATTTAAGTTTAGATTTACTTTTTTTTTTAGATTTAATACCTTTTTCTTTAGCAAATTGTTGCCATTTTGTTAAAGGTTTAGGTTTTGGAATTTTACGAGATCTTGGTAATATAAATTTTTGTTTAGGTAATTTTGCTACTATTACTTCATCAATACGTTCTGTTGGAAGTTCCCAAATTTTATTAATCAATATTTGCACATTATCTCTTGTTAAACTTTTTAAATACTCTTCAGGCTGTGACCTATAAAAAATAAACTAATTAAAAATATATATATATAAATCATTTTAAAAATAAAGTATATTATAAGAAAAGGTTACTTTATTGCTTTTAAGTCCAAATTGTTGTAATCTAATGCTAAAAGAGTTCCTAAGTCTGTTTCAACTTCTATATCTTTATTTACTATTGTAGTTCGGGTATCTTTTTCTTCTGTATTATTTTCTAGAATTGAATTAACAACATCTTTGCTATCCATCCTTTCTCTGTTAAAAAGAAAATCTTTTTTAAATTACGAATAATATTCTTAAATATTTATAATATAAACAAACAATTTTCGTTTTTTAATATTATAATATATATGTACTACATTTTATATGTATATGTACATGTATATGTATGTATATATATATACTACATTTTTCATCTCAAATATTTATATGATAATATTGAATAGAATCTAAAATATCTAGTTTTTTTTTCATATTTAAATAAAGCATCTTAAAGCATATGTATTAGAGGTTATATTGACAATAATGCAGTTTTCTTCGTTGTACATTATACTCAATACGAAAATACGCAATATATTTTTGATAAAATATATTCATATATACTTACATTCGTATATTTGCCAATATAGATATATGAGAGTGAATTAATACAATAAATATTAATTATTTTTATATTTTAAAATTACTTGTTGTTTTATAGTAGACTAATGTTTGTTCTTGCGGAATTGAAAGACACAGTTAGGATTCCACCAGTGGAATTCAAGCAAAAATTAAACGATGCTATTACAGATGAACTTAATAGAAAGTTAGCTAATAAGGTAAAATATCACAATTTATTTAAATTTTATTACATAATTTTATTAATAGAATCCAATAAAATTATTAATTTATTTATTAAAGGTTTATCTTAATGTTGGCCTTTGTATTGCTCTTCATGACATTACGAAAATTGAAGAATCATATATTTTTCCCGGCGATGGTGCATCTCATACCAAAGTAATATTTCGTTATATTGTATTTCGTCCATTTATGGAGGAAATATTAATAGGAAAAATACGTAGTTGTAGCATTGATGGTGTCCATGGTAATATTTACATACAATATTATTATTTATACTTCAATTTATATTTTGTTTATCATTAAACTTTTATTTACAGTAACATTAGGGTTTTTTGAAGATATTGTGATTCCACCTCACAAATTGCAACATCCATCAAGATTTGATCAAATGGAACAAGCATGGGTATGGGAATATGATACAGGAGATGGTGAAAAACATGATTTATTTATGGATGCAGGTAAATTATTTTAAAAAGTTTCAATTATATAACAAAAATATATACATTGATTTATGCATAAATTTTAGGAGAAATTATACGATTCAGAGTAGTAAGTGAAACATTTACAGAAGCCTTACCTACAGGACCAAACATATCTGGGGAGACTGAAACATCAGAAGCTAAAAATATATCTCCATATACTTTAGGAGTATGTATCTTTACTTTAGAAATATTATGAAAATATCGATCATTGATATCATCATATAAAATGATTTAATTTTAATTTAAAATTAATGATTATTTTAATTCCATATTCTAGGGTGCTATTGATGAACCAGGTCTTGGATTGCTTACATGGTGGGAAAATACTTAAGAATATAAAAATAAATTCAGATCAATAAATTTTTATTCACAGCACATTCCATCATGTTATTATATATCACTCTTATAATCCGTGATTCGAACCTCATGCAATCAGATCTCAGATAGAATTTCGACTGTGCGAATATATTTATATATTTAGTTTTGATTGGTAACAGAATCATTAATTGTATATTTGTACAGTATATACAAAGACTTTATGTGCTAAACATGTTAATAACACGCAAAAAATAATTTCAGTTTGAGATTAGAAATAGAAGTCGAGGTCATGTTGAACTGTTACACAGAAATTATTTGGTAGTGCAAGTCTCAACATAAAAAATATTGCACTTATTTAATTACAATAGTGGCGAATAATTCCCTTCTGATATCTTATGTGCTGACATGGAATAGATGCATAGTATTTGTCTGACACTGATTCATTTTAAATAACCATCGAAATAGATAAACACGTAAAACACGTTTTTTTTTTTTTTCTATATTGCGATATATTATTACATTTAATGAAAAAACATTTGAAAACTTAGCTAGATGTAAGCCTTAAATGTAGGAAACATTAACATTATTTGACAGCAGAATATACATAGGTAAAATATAAGTTAAAAACTTTTCTTTTCTTCTAGACAATACATATATGTGCAATGATTTTTTGTCTTTTTTCTCTTTTTTCTTTCATTCATTTATTTAGCAAATACATCGTCGAATAAATCAAAATTCGCAGAATAATGTTTTGCAAAATTAAAATATTCATTAACGCACAACCGGAATGTTTTTCTGATTTTTTTTTCGCTTCTTTTGTTGTTGACTTTTTTTTAATGATATTTCTAAAATAGTAACTTGTTTGTTTTTTTTTTTCTTCAAAAAGCAATGCGACTAATTTTTTTTTTTTTTTTTTTTAAAAATTTTTTAAAAAAATTAATTTTTTTTTTTTTTTTTTTTTTCAAAAAGCAATGCGACAAATTTTTTTTTTTTTTTTTTTTAATAATCACGCACATTTGAACGTTGAAGCGGGTTAAACAACGCTCTAAACATAGTTGAAGTAGAATGATATACATATAATAAAAATTTATCACAGTTCTAACTGTTGAGTCTGTCGTCTCGTCGGATAATCTCTACGTTCTTTTATTTTATTTTCTTTTATTTTTTTTTTATCTTTTTTCTTCTTTTTAACAAGAATCTACTATAATTAACTTGTCTCTTCGTTTGTTTTTTTCTTTATTCTCTATTATCAAGCGGGGACTTGTGTAAAAGTCTGTACAGATTATCAAGTTACCGAGAGGCGAATATGTTTTTGCATTTTTTTTTTTTTCATATCTTTTTTCAAACATTTTTAAAACGAAAAAAAACGAAAAACAAAAATAACAAAACGTAATCGAACCGTACAATTCGGTCTAAAGTTCTAAACATCGGCGAAAAAGGAGTGCGATTCATATAGGAGCTCTGGTGTATTAAAAATGACTACATGCTATCTTAGTGTTAACATTTGCATGTTTTTAAAGGCTAGTGTTTCTTTTTTTCTTTTTTTTTTTTATACCCTTTACCGTTATAAGAGAGAACAATAATATGCGGTAGTGTTCAAGTTTGGACGTCAATTGCTTCTTTCTTATATCTGCATCAGCTCCTCTTATACATAAATACAATCGTCGTATCCTTGTCTAAGTATTGCTTTACATAAAATTTTTTTGCCATCACATTCTATAGAAATAGAAACTTTTCTGAATTGGAACGCAAAAGTATTACTAGGACTGTTGCCTGTTGTTTCTACAGTAGCATAATTTATTCGATGATTAGGCAGCGGGGCAGATGTTCACGCAAATAATCGAATAATTCCTGAGATGTTCCCGGACAATTGGTTAGCTCTAATTCGTGTAAATGTCGAAGCTGAATCAAACTGGATAATCCGCTACTTGTGAGCAATGGACAGCCTGTGGAAAATTTATATTTTTTAACATTTCATTTTATATTATTTATTTATATGTATATAAAATTCTAATAAAATAAATTTTTTAAAAATATTTTTCTTTTTGATTCTTTTTATAGCTTAATATAAGATCATTGATTGTTCACTTTTTAAAGAAAAGGCTCATATTTTAAATTTTGATGTGCAATATAATGCACATCATATAGGGTAAGTTTTAGTTTGATCTTACCTGCCACAGAGAGTACTTGTAAGGATTTCATGCCGCACAAGTGCTGAAGTCCAAAGTCTCTAAGTAGAATGCACCATCTCAAGAACAATGCGCTCAATGATCCCATTGTGGAAATGTAGCCCACGCCTATGTCTGTGATGTGCACACATCTATATGAGGAGAAGAAAAAAAGAGTTTAATAAACTATTCACTTTTGAATTTCTCCTTAAATATAGAACTTTTAAATTTTTCCATCTTTGTTTCTTTTTGACTTTTTTGATATTTTCCTATTATAACTCCTATTTCAATTCATTTTCTAAATATCATACATCTTTTACAGATTTATAGCATAATTATAAAAGATATATTATTATATAAAATAAAAATAAACTCATAATATCTTTATTAAGAAATTGCTACAGAAATTAATTAATATAAGATTTTTCCTTTATCCAATTATTCATAAAGTACAGTTTCGTTTTGTCAATCAATTTAAAATATATAATATATTGATATGTATATGAAAACGATGGTTGAACTCAAATCGTCTGATTCCAAGTTTATCTTGAAAGTACATATATTGATTGATACATACATATTGATACATATATGATTTATACATATAAATATATATTTCAAATGAAAACAATTACTATTAATTTTTTAAAGAAAAATATGTTTTTTTAATTTTTACATTGAATTCAGTTATATTATATTAAATTAATCTTACAAATAAACTTTTTCTATAATTGCAACATTAAATACAATCTTATATTTGAAATATTTAACATGCACAAACATATATTTGACGCTTATAGGAAATACTTTTTACTCTTTAAACATCTGAATGCGTTTACAATCGCTGATTCATCCTGGCATTGCATAATAGTTGATCGTAAATAGAAACGCTCGTTAACGTGTTCAGTATTTAGAACATGAATGGATCGTATGGATTCACCACGGTCTAAACACACTACGATGGTGGATCACGATTTCGCTAACACGATTTAAAAAAAGAGCAATGCAAAGAAATAAAACGATTGTTCGTTGTTTGTGGTTGGATGTCTCTTCTTATTATCAATTCTCACCTGTCTAAGGTAAGCTCCTCTAAGTGATTCAAATCACAGGCGATATACTCTAAGGCGGCATCGGTGATTCTCGAGCACCAGCTCAGATCCAATGAACGAAGCCTGGACAAGTTTTCTGCTATCAATTCGACACCGTCATCCGTTACTTTGCTGCATCCGGACAACGATAGGACAGTCAGATTGGGCAAGGAATGTACTGGAATATAAAACGAAAAAAATAAATGATTCATTTTCTTAGTTACGTCTTGTTTTCTTTTTTTTTTTCTTTCTTCCTTTCTTTTTTAGACCAATACGAAAGCTATCGTATAAATAACGACAATCGGTCGTTGTCCTCGAATTGTCTATGTTTTACTCATCTAGGAGCGTGAGTCTGAGCTGTTGGTGACAGCATGAAAGCTAAATAAAGCGGTTTCTTAATTCTAAATTTATAATGGTTGAATGCGTGGACCACTTATCTTAATTTCACACTATCGTCATCATGAATTATTTCTACCTGGATCCTGGGAGAACGGTGTCGTAACTGTCCCGCTTTTCCGCGTCTTGAATAATCGTTCGCATATCTTTTCAAATTATATTGTACAATGAATATTACTATAACAATTATTATGATAATAAAAGTTAATATTAATAAAATAGTACGAACAATCCGGATATTCTTGAATTTTTATGTGACACGTTTGAATGTCTAATTAATTTTCATCCACTTAGATGGAGGCGTGCAGCTATTCAAAATATCGAGGAGATCTTAAACAACTCTTTCTCTGAATATATATAGACCATTACTTACTTTCTAAACATTTCACGGTTAACATAACATAATTGTTTTACAACCAAATTTCTCATCTATAGATATCGAATTAATGAGTTAAGTAAAAATTAAAAAGAACGATTCCTTACCAATATTGACTATACCATGGTTAGTGAGTTCCCAGCAGGATTGCAGCCTGAGGATGCTAAGGGAGCTACTCTGGGTTGCGTGAAAATATCCAAGGGCGGCGTCGGTTACATGATAAGCTTGCAACGAGAACTCGTAGAGACTCGGCAGTAATTGAGCGACAGCACCGACGGCTTCATCAGCCACATTGATACAATCCGACAAGGAGAGCGATACTATTCTAGGTGTTAAGCAAGTCCACAAGCCGGCTTCCGTTATTTCGTTGCAACCTGCTAATTCAAGCTCGAACAACGCCTGAAAATATGGAAAAAAGAATTAGATATTGTATGGTAAAAATTTTATTTATAAGTTAATACGTGATGTAAATAATATATACAAAGAATAATATTTAATTACTCGAAAACAAAATTTTAAATATAAATATTTCATTTTTCGACTTATTTTTGTAGAATCATTTCTTACTTGATTGATATGTTGAGTCACCCTATATAGAGAACTTAAGAGAAACTAAAAATAAAAGTCGATAAAAAGTTAAAAAAAAAAAGGTAATGCGATGAAAAAAATTTTTTTTCAAGGTCATAAAATTATATCATACATATGGAATGATAACTTATATCTAACGATTTATTTTTCGATCTTGAAAATTGAAGAAAATTCATTTCTAATTCTGATTGTTTAAATTGAGATCAGGTCTTTTCTTGAGGAAATCTATTCGATTGATTACTGATTAAACATTACATCAATAAAATCTTTTTTTATCTCTGGAATCAAAAGATAAATGATATTTTGTAATGAAGTATATTTCCTCGAATTTAATTTAAACTCTCTAATTTAATTTATATTACGTACTTGTAAATGATCTAAGAGAGCTTCTAGTCCCCTGTCGGTCACCGCGCAACATCTCAACGACAATGAATGAATATT